TGTGTGTGTGTGTGTGTGTGTGTGTGTGCGTGCGTGCGTGCGTGTGTGTGCACTGTTTATACAACAATATAAATCAAACTGAACTGAATTGGTTTGGCAGGTATATGTCAATGACCAGCTGTTTGACTTTGTTCACCTTTTTGAAGACAGTCTTGTCTGTTTTCTTTTCAAAATTTGCCTTATGAAGAAATATATTTCACATGTCATTTGTACATCTTTTCAAACAAAAAAAGAGCGCTGAACAAAAGCTCTGAGCCACGCCGTCTGAGCAGCACTCAGGGGTTAATGGAAACCAGACAAAGGGAGGCAAAACAATTATTAAATTTCGACCAAACTTGTGTCTATCATAGTGTATCTTAAAGACTTCAAAGACCATAGACCAACCAAAATGAAGCACTTCTCACGCTAAGGGCTTACTTGTGCATCCTATAGGATATTTAAAAGTAGAATGGGAGGCAGAACTTTTCAGGGCCCTCTTCTGTGGAATCAGCTGCCAGTTTGGATTTGGGAGACATAATTTTCTTTAAGAAATTCTTTAAGCAATGTCATTTCTCATGTTATCAGCTTTAATCAATTTTGGCTGTGGGGCATATGCAACAAGGGAAATATCTGAATACAGTTTGCTGACAGAATATTTCCTGTCAGTTATAACCACAGTAGTATTGAGTACCACAAGCATGGCCCAGTATATTTAAGTAATCTATTGTTTTCCTGGGACTGTGTTTGTGACTATCTGGTTAGTTTTTCTGCAAAACCTGAAAAAAGTATGTTAAAATAGCAATGTTTATGCAGACAGACATAAAAGGATATAAAGATCTTTCTTTAAGAAATAACAGATCCAATATTTATTGAATATTATGCATATGTCATATTGCCCATTCCAAATATAATATTAAACTTGTTCCCATAGATGCTGTGTTTCATTATTGCTAGCAACCAATTAATGCTTGCAAGCCTAAAACTTAACAGAAATTAAATAATTCTGCCACTTTTAGGTTATGCACCCCTCTGATATTCAGTCAACGAGTGTAGTTCAGTCATATCAGTACAATCTGTTTGTGTTCACTATTTCCCTCCTTGCTTCTGAGATGCCACAAACACACAAGGTTATAAAAAGGTAGGCAAGGCATACACATGAAAAGCACTAGCGAAATAATACATGCACAAGTACTTTTAATTTCTACCACTGCATTGTAGTTCAAATACAATGAAAAGATAGATAGTAAATGAGAGCCACACTAAGTAAAAAGAATAAAATATACATACAGATGGAAAACTTATGGTTAGAGAGTCTTTTTCTATAGGATGAGTATTTTTAAGCGGGGGATTGTTTTTAATCAAATACAGCTAACAATGTTATAACCAGTCACACCAGAGCAGATCTCCATCACTGAGAAGGTTCATAGCGACAAAAGAGTTCTTGATTTTGAAAGCAAAGCAAAAAGCCTCTGTGTGTACTTGTTTCTTTGTAAATTTCCACAGTTTTCTATCCAGCTTCATTTCACGAGTGCATCTTGTGGCTCTGTTTTATGCATTATTTGATGGACTTGAGGTGAAGTTATAGGGAAGCTTTCTTCTCACACATCCAGGGGTGTAAAATAGAGCATTTTTCATCATTCCAGCTGTTTTTTGAGTTGTAATTTTTTATTTGCCCACAGTTTTCATTTTTGAGTCCATTAGGCTCACCGCTATTCCAGTAGCTGAAAATAAAGATAAAATTATGAGAGTTAAACTCAACAATCTGATCAATTTTTTCTTTTCAGTAACTGTAACTTAGATACTAATGAGACAGCATGAACAGTATCTTTTTACTTAAATATATGAAAACTAAAGAATGGATTTTATTTGTATTTAAACCTTGTGGTCATTCGAGTCCCATCCACCCATTTCCATGTCCCGTCTGTCTCCGAGTCAGTCAGTCCAATCCACAAATACTTGTTTAACTGATTCACAAAGTTCTTTTTAAAAAAGAGAGAAACCAACTGTAAGGATACTGAGTTTAAACTGATGTATCTATATAGCCTCCACTTAACTGAACTTTGATTTCATTTTAATTTTCATTTAAATATTTTAATGCACTCCGACCTGTTCCTCTTGGCTGTTGATAATCACCAGGTCTGCACCTTTTTGAAGACAGTCTTGTCTGCTCTCTTGCCAGGATTTCTCCTCTGAAGACATGTAATAGAAACTACCGCTAACATACACCCATTTATGCTGAAAATCTAATATAAAAAAAATAGAAGAAGAATGTTAACAATTTGGGGTTACATTGTACGAGGTAGCTTTCACATAACCTTAATGATGAGCTTTTTCACAGCCATTGCTTTGGAGTTAGTGACACAAATTCAAAACACTTTGGTGGTGAAAAAAACTTTCTGTCATAGTTGCACAATTTGTCAGAATGTGTTTCCTAAGACATAGTTCAAGTCAGTGTTCTCAGCACTTTGATTTTTAGATTTGTTTTCGTGTTCATTAACAATGTGCACTTAATTACTCCAATTGTGCACAAAGTTAATAGTAACTCTCAGGGCTGAGAAGATGAGAAAGATATAAGATTATATAGGAAAGCTATTTGAACTTTGGTGACTTCTAGTGAAGATGTGTAAAATGTGATAAAGTGATTTCCGCTGTAATCTGCATCAGCAGCTGTAGGTAAAAAAAAAGGCATGGAAAGGAAGCTGCTTATCACTGTCATCAATGTGGCAAGACTCTTAATGCTGCTTTCATTTGTTACACAGGAAGCCCTAAGCGTAAACCACAATGTTGGTGGTACAGTCATCTCTGTATTTGGTTGTCTTTTTTTAATTATTATTTGCAACTTCAAGTACATAATTGAAAAAGAGTGAAGGCAAACTGAGTGAGTTCAGTTTGAGTCAGGAATTCACCTGAACAGCATCAAAAAATTGTTTATTTTCTAAGTCCAGTGGCATTAAGTTATTGTATGAATCCTTTGGGAATTTTTATCTCAGAGCTCTGAAATACTTGTATGTATCAACTGTTATTGTCTAACAGTGCAGCCATGCTCCTTATGATGCCAAGAAATTAGTAAAAACAAACAAAGAAACAAACTGAAAAATGTGAATTTAAAACATTTTGCAATCACATTTAACTATGATATTTATTTATGATGTCTTGTAGGCAGGGTCTATGCTAAATCTACCATGTTTCGTTTGTTGCAGTTTATAAACTATTGGTTTATTATTGAATCATCAGAATAAAGGCTAGACCCAAGAACATATTTTCTTTGAATGAAATAAAATGGTAAATGGCCTGCATTTGTATAGCGCTTTTCTAGTCCCTAAGGACCCCAAAGCGCTTCACACTACATTCAGTCATTCACCCATTCACACACACATTCACACACTGGTGATGGCAAGCTACATTGTAGCCACAGCTGCCCTGGGGCGCACTGACAGAGGAATAATTACCTTGAAACTTTCTCTGAAGATCATCTTTCTCTTTGGTCAAGGCTTCAACTTTTTTCTGGAGCTGGACTCTGTCTTGAACCACTCTGTCGTAGTTTTTCTGTAACTGGTCTTGTTCTGTTTTCAAGTTGTTGTAACTGATCTGTAATGCTCTCTGTCTGCCCACCTCCTCTTCCCACTCAGATTTGTCTTGGTTGACTGTGTTGGGCATGTGAACATTAAATGAACAAGCTCTATTAATGAACACCCATTTAGGACATCATCAGCATGCTATCTAGCTGCTGTACTCACAAGGAAAAGCCAGAATTATGAGTCCAGTGAGGAGAAGAAGACACAGCACACCCAGAAGAATCACAGCAGCTCTGCAGGAACTTTTCTTCACAAATGTAGTACCTGGGGCTAGAAGTCAGTATTTTTCAACATGTGTGCAAACATAAGACATTAACAACCTCATATTTGGCGACTAATAACAACGGTGACACTAGCAACTGCTCTTTTAATTTACAAAGTAGAAAAAAAACACATCTGTTTTTCAATCAGCGCCTGAAGAGTATTGTCTTCAATACACAACAGCGTTTATCTTTGTCAAAGCAATTTGGTACGGCAGACATTTACTGTCACAACAAAAAAAATAATTAGCACATTTAACACGAACCACTCCGAGAGTGTCATTTTTCTTTTTAAACATACTTTAAGAAGTTTGTTGTGCAGTAAAAAAATCAGCTAAGAGCAACATGACAGATGTTCAACTTAATTTAGGGCTGCAGCTATCGACTATGTATTAATTAAGGAACTGGGTAAGTAATACATTTTACCTCATTAATGACCAGTACATACAAAAAAAATCCCACTAAACCCATCCATCCATTCTTTTCTGCATATCCTTGCCAGGGTTGCTGGGCCCCTACTAAACCCTTTCATTGTATTTACATGTTAAAATAAAAAAATTAAAAGAAAACATTTTCTTAAATGCAAAAAGATTGAAATAGTTAAATACAACTAAATACAGTAATGTAAAATAAAATGAGAAGGCATTTTTAGTTTGTCTCCTTGGAAGGTGAGAATTTTTTTTATAATCGATTTATTGGTCTTACTTAATGAACTGAAATTTGAGCTAATTGTAGCAAGTATTGTAGCAAAGCTGGCCAAAATTTATTTGGTTACAATTTTTAAAAGAGTTTAAATTTGTTTCCATTTTAGAAAAATGGAATTTGTCTATTTCCTGTACTTAAGAAGTTTTGGGGGCTCAAAAATGAAGGAAAAATTAAAACCACTAAATTTCAACCTACCCACCTGTACTTTCAAGAGCTATAATTTGGGCACATTTTATAGTATGAAGGTAAAAAGATTTTGCATGGCTTTACTTAGTATGCTCATATATGAGCTGTTTGGGAAATACATCTTCAAAGTTGAAAGGTCGATGTTATGTATTGGCTTTTCTGTCCTGAGAATTTAAAATGTATGCAGTTATAAAGGGTTTATACCTATTTCACAGACTGATTTTGACTAAAAATACTGAATAATGATACTAAATGGGGAATTTCTCATTGTATCTTTCTTGTATGTCTGTGAAGGTTCTCAGTCATCCAGGTCATCGTAGTCAAAGGAGCTTGCAAAGAAAAGCGTCTGGACTTCTTTAAGTTGCTTGAAGACGTTTCACCTCTCATCCGAGAAGCTTCTTCAGTTCTAAGGTCAAATGGTGGAGAGTCCCAGATATAAACCTAGTGGGAGTTTCCCCCCACGGAGGGACAAAAGGACCCCCTGATGATCCTCTAATCACCTGAGCCAAGGTGTGAAATTGGGTGCGGGCCCCAATCAGCCTGCAGTGACTGCTTTTTAAAATTTGCGTTTTTCTTTTTAAGCCGTGACCACAAATGAAGATTATTATGCTAACTAAAATAAACTAAAACCTAAAACTAGATTCACAAAAGTAAATTAAAAAAAAAAACATTTGTAATTTTGTCAACTGAAACACCTGCATGTAGCTGTTTTACATGATTTCTTTTTTTTTTTTATTATAGTATGGGTTAGTTTGTGAGGTTTAAATTAAAAATATTACAATACTGTAACAGCATAAACTTAATAAAAAACATAATAAAGAATAAATGTTATTAAACTTAAGGGTTTGGTCCTCTTTAGGCTTTCTGACCTTTGCCCCTTTTTCGACACTCTGTGATTACCTGGTATTTCTTCTGGATTCCTGTAGCGCATTTCCATGATTTTCAGATGCGTGTCTGGTTTCAGCTGGGTCTTGGGTTTCTGAAGAAAAGATCTAAGAGTGTCTCTGCAGTTGCAGACTGTTGTACTGAACTGTGTGAAACTGATACATGTGATTCTCTATTTAACAGGAAACTGAGGTCTGGTGAGATGAAAACATTATACTGCTTGTGCTCACATGGCATGTAATAAATCCTGACAGTGCAGGGAGTATGATGCCATTTAAATTGTAATTATTATTGACACATTTCATAAATTATTTAATAATGTATTTGTTTGATTCATTTTGGCACTCATGGCTCTCTGTGAAGACTTTGCTGGGGTTACGCCTGCATTCGTCTTTGCTTTTGAATGGGCTGACTACACTCACTGCAGCCCTTAATCTAACTTAAACCAATTTAAATTTACTGAGTAGAAATAGCAGAAGACCAATCCAACAACATATTAATATAACTGATTCATTGTTGGCTTTGGTCTCTTTAGAATGTCAGGTTATACTTTGACAGTCAGTAGTTCAAATGCTATGTCTCTTCTTTTTTCAGACCATAATCTCTAGTTATTCTGTAAATCTGTTATAGTAAGTGATAAAATCAATGCTTGCTGCAGAAAATGCTGCATTTTAAACAATTAGCTTAAGTAAAAAGTTTAAACTATTCAACAATAATTTAGCGATTGATACAAAAACAACAACAACAACAAGAACAAAAGACAATAGATTTGATACAAAAACAACAACAACAAAACCCAAAAAAAACTAATAATCTGCTTCATAGTTCACAGAAGCACGGGCAGCATTTACAATTTTTCTTCCTCACTGGATATTTTCTCACTTTAGACCATTCCCTGTAAACCGTAGAGATGGTCGTGCAGGAAAATCCCAGGACATCATCAGTTTCTAAAATACTCACACCAGCTTAAGTGACATCAAAAACCATGCCACATTCAGTCAACTTTCTTCCTCATTCTGACACTCGGTTTGAACTTCAGCAGGTATCTTGACCATGTCTAGATTCATAATCTCTTTTAGTTGAAAGTCACTGATTAGATATTGAAATAATGTGACAAACACTGGAGCAGGCGTACCTGATCAACTGGTTGCTGAATGTATGTAGCGTGAAGTTGGTGGACTACACAGTAGTTGGTGCTTTGTCTGCTTTCTGATGCAAATGGTTTTGAGGGGAAAAAAAAACTAAACATTTTGAATGCTCAGTCTTTAAAAGGCGGTGAAATGTTTTTATTCATTAATTACAGCGTTGAAGTGATTGCATGACTATTCATGTTTTCACAATTGTGAAAAAGGTTTTGATTGTTGTAGTGTCTTTCACACAGGTGTCTCAGTGTTTTGTTATGCTACTGTTTAAAGATCTGCTTTAAGAGTGGTGAGAATAACTTTTCTGCTAGAATTGAGCCATGAGAAAACTGTAAGCGACATAATACTCAGCTTGGACTAATTGGAAACCATAACTTCTTTATTCAACTTTTTGCGACGTACTAGACAATTCTATAGACTATGGACTATAGGATTTCTCCTCACATGCTTCGACATACTTCGTAGCACCTGAGGAGGGCAGCAAAACGCCCTCCACGTGTCAAACCCGCCTGAAGCCGGAAGAAGAAGACAAAGCCGAAGAGGCGGAGCAATAAGGATTCAACATTACTGAAATGAAAGTGGAAGTTAGTCAAAGTAAAATTAGAGCTGCAGACAGGTCAATCTCCGTATCTAAAGAAGATCAAGAGGAGATTTTTTTTCTCTCAACAACAAACTGGAATGCAGGTGAGTGCAGCTGATCAGATTTGCTGTGTTTAACAGGCACTGTTTCTCTCTTAATGTTACTTCACGTGAAATGTCAGATTAGTTCAACTGGAGACTGATGTTAAGAAAGGTCCATCCATTCTCTTCTACTTATGCTTGTCGGGGTCGCCGGGGGGCTGGAGCCTATCCGAGCTATCATAGAGTAAACCCTGGACAGGTCACCAGTCTGTCGCAGGCTGTGTTGAGCAAAATGGGAGGTAAAATCATCAAAGTTAAATGTGGAATATTCCCGAAAAACAAACAAACAAAATGAAAGCAAAACTAAAGGTCCGCTTCGAATTTGTTTCGAATTCGTTGTAAAAACGGAGTGCTGCTGTGAGATGGAATGATCATCCCACAAAAGTCTACACAGTTTCTTTTGACTTGTGCTTTCTTTAAACCACTTAAATGAGCTGTGGGCCACTGCTGGCACTGTCATGTCATTGGAGGGCCACTTTAATGATCAAATAGTGTGTATATAATATATATATATATGTATGTATGTATATATATATAGATAGATAGATAGATAGATAGATAGATATCTATCTCTCTCTATCTCTCTATCTCTATCTATCTCTATATATATATATTATATATATATATATATATATATATATATATATATATATATAATAATATATGTAGTATTATATATGATATATAATATATAATATATATATATATGTAAGATATATATATATATATATATATATTTATTTAATATATATATAATATATATATTAATATATATATATATGTATATATATATTATATACATATATATATATATATATATATATATATATATATATATAATATATACATATATAATAATATATATACTATATATATATTATATGTATATATAATATATATATATTATATATAATATTATATATAATATATATATATATATTATATATATACATATATTATATAGATGGATGATAGATATCACTACACACACTGTATTATTATTGCTATATATATATATATATATTATAATATATTATATATATATATATAAAAATTTAAATATTGCATAACGAGACAAAGCTTTCAATGTGGGTGCAAATCTTGTTTCTTTCTCACTCTTAACTAACTGAAACCTTTCAGGGGTGGGGTGGGGGGTATGCCCCCCACACCCCCGTTGCCGAGCTTAAAAAACTGGTACCTTTTGCACGTACGAGCACGTGCACATGCACTCTCAGGCACGCGCGTTCACTCATCCGAAAAGGGGCACTTCCGGGCCATGCGGTCCCACTGCGCACGCTCTGTCTTCTCCTAGCGGGATGTGTTTTACAAAAGTACAGGCTAAAGTCGCCTCTACGCCTTTTTGGAAAGGTCCAGAGCCTTTATACATAGCATATGCCAAACAGACTTAGTGCGAGATAAATAATGTGTAGCCTTAGAATTTAACATTTACAGTATAAAGAGACACACAGGTCAGTACCTTCGCTATTGTCTCTAAACATTAAGATCCATTAAAAAAAAAAGAAAAATCAGTTTTATCAACAGAGGACCCATGAAACGAGCAAAGCTGACAGTTCTGAAGAGCACAGTGCATGCTCTCATTTCACAAGTTGGCCCACATTTTCCAGAAAGACCACACCCCCCACCCTCAAAAACAGACAAAAAGCAGTTCATCTCCCCATTTCTTGAGATACACAGCGTCTTAAAGTCTGAAACAGCCAACAATGCTCAGTTGTTAGAAACAATGCAACAAGGTTGGGTAGTCGTTTAACTAACCATCGAAAATCTGCTTATAAAACACACTGCCGTTTCAGCTCGATTGTCTGACAACAAAAGCCTTTCTATAGTGTCAGTGTAAAAAGACAAAGTAATTCCTGTTTGTATAAATTTACCATGAAAAGCCAAAATGCCAACAGCGGCTGATGAACCTTACTAAAACACATCCTGCTAGGAGAAGACAGAGCGTGCGCAGTGGGACCGCATGGCCCGGAAGTGCCCCTTTTCGGATGAGTGAACGCAAAGTGCAGGAGAGTGCACGTGCACGTGCTCGTACGTGCAAAAGATGCCAGTTTTTAAGCTCGGCAACGGGGGTGTGGGGGGCATACCCTCCCCCACCCCACCCCTCCCCTCACCCCTCCACCCCTTGTAGAGCAAAATTTAGTGTTTTGGTCTAGATTTGGTCTAGGCCTAGACATTAAAACTTACTTTTTTAATGTTTTTTGCATAATTATGTGTGTGCAATTTGTGCAGTTTTGTAAATCCTCTGTGTTTACATTCATAAAAGCATCTCTTTTTTTAACAGTGATACCTCATCTATGATATTCTTGATTTGGTTGGATGTGAAGTTGTTTTTTCTTTTAAACAAAATAAATAATTCCATCATCGTGCACTTTAGTTATCTTGAAGTCTTTCGGGCCTTTTGGTGTTGCTGAGCTGCTCAGTGAAAGTACCAGATTTTTGATTTGCCTACTCCTGAAGTTTTTTCTACTACTTTGATTTAATTTGTTTGTTTGTTTTTGTTTGTTTTGTTCAGCTTAATCATGGATCCCTCAGTTGCACTGACATCTCTTTGGGCCTCATATTCTAAAGTGAAAAATGAAAAGCTATAAAAAGAATCAACAGTATGAAGCAATTTCATTTTTCATGAAATCATGATCGAACAGACCTCATCTGGCTATGAAACAGCTTACCTAATTGTCCCATTACCTGTGAGCTTCTGCAAATGAGAGACAAGGTAATTCCCAAATATTTTTCTTAAACCCGTTGAATCAGACATCTGTAAAAAAAAAAAAAATTCCCTAAAATGTTTACTTTTGTTTTGTAGACTGCAGACATGTTTGCTGCTAGTAATCTGCAACCTGAAGATCAGTTTCTGTGCTCCATCTGCCTGGATGTGTTCACTGATCCAGTCACCACACCATGTGGACATAACTTCTGCAAAAACTGCATCACCCGGAACTGGGACATTAATGTTAGGTGCAAGTGTCCCCTATGTAACAAACTGTTCAAGAGACGACCTCAACTGGAAATAAACACTTTGTTCTCTGAGGTAGTTGCTCAGTTCAGAGATGAAGCTCAACAGAATGCAAGCAGCAGCTCAGAGCAACAAGCTGCCAAACCAGGAGAAGTTCCCTGTGACTGCTGCACTGGAACCAGACTGAGGGCCCTGAAGTCCTGCCTGGTGTGTCTGACCTCCTACTGTGAGACTCACCTAGAACCTCATCTGACAGTCAAAGGTCTGAAAAGACATCAGCTGATTGAGCCTGTGGAGAACCTGGAAGGCAGGATGTGTATGAAGCACGATAAACATCTGGAGCTGTTCTGTAAGACCGA